TCTCCACTTAACATGCTGAGCCTGCCCAGCCTTCACCGGTCCAGATCTTTCATCCCAGACACACCTCTAACAGCACGGCTTCCTACACAAAGGAGCCCTTGAGAAGAAGCAGAAATGATGTGGTATCCACATCACTCGGCAGACCATGATGGTTGCAGCGGCTCTTGTTTCTGGGTAGTTTCAAAACTATCAGTTGGAGGCAGATGTGATCTTGGGAGTTTTGTTTTAAGACTTGAAAAAAAAATGAATTCTGTATTTCATGTGTGTAGGGGCAGGGGTTGGTTATGCACACGCATGTAGAACCTGAGACCAGAAGATAGGTTCAGATCCCTTGGAACTGGAGTTATAGGAGGTTGTGAGCCAATTCATGTGGGTACTGGGAACCAAACTTGGGTCCTCAGCAAGAGCAGCGTATGTCTAAACAACAGAGCTCCCTTTCCAACTTCCTTCTAGAAATGGTTTTTAATTTATTGACAATTTAGACATGCCTGCAGTATATTTTGATTACATCTTCCCCATCTCTTCTTTATCACCCTCCCTTCTGGACCCTTCTCAACACACTGCCTTCCTTTCCTGTCCTTTTGAAATTTTTCACTTATTTAATGTGTGTGTGTGTGTGTGTGTGTGTATGTGTATGCGTGCACGTGCGCACGCGCGCACGGGTACACACCGTACATGTATGTACTAGGGTGCAGTTGTGAAAGTCAAAGGACAGCTTTCTTGAATCTATTCTCTCTTTGCAATGTGTGGGTCCCAGAGTTGACATCAGATTGACGGTTTGGCAGCAGTCACGTTTACCTGCTGAGCCATGCACTGGTCTTTGATTTTTATTTTATGTATTATCTGTGTGTGTGCAATGTGCACACACATGTGCAGGGAGTGGGAGAACATGTGTGAGTCATAGAGCTCCCATTGGGAGTCAAGGGGGCTCTTTTAAGGAGTTTATTTTAATCTTTTTTTTTTTTTTTTTTTTTTTTGCTGAAACATTTTTAGTAAATTTTAAGGAAGTCTCAAGTCATGAACACCAACCTCTATAGGCACATGTTAAGCCACAATTTTTAGTGTTACAAGTTTGCTTGTGAGTAATAATAGTTTATTTTTAATCTTCTTATTCCATGGGTTCTGGAATCAAATTCAGGCCTTCTTTACCTCCTGAGCCATCTGGCCAGTCCCCAGCAGAGTGTAGTTAGGCTTGCCTGGCTGACACGGTGTGGGGTTATTTCCAAGATCATGGGCAACTCACCGGTGCTGCATACCTAAAGAAAAATGGCTCTTGCTCCCCCTCCCCAAGTGGCTGTCACCTGTTATTTGGTCTTAATGGCTCTTGCTTCCCCTCCCCAAGTGGCTGTCACCTGTTGTTTGGTCTTCTTGGTCACCATGACTTGAGGGAGGGTGGCAGTCTGGGGAGGTCAGCAGCGCCTCCCTCCTGTGGCAGCTGTGTTGACTCCTGACCTGGGATGGTGGTGGAGGGGCATTGGCAGGAAGAGGCTCTTGCCACACTTTCTCAGGGTGAGAGGAAGAAGAGTCTGCAGGTCTCTCACTGGGGGACCCCTGGGGCTGTGGCCATGCTTCTTGTTCCCTTCCCATCAGGAGCTCCAACCTCCACAGATGAGACTTGGCCAGATTCCATGAGAACCCTTCAGTTTATGCCAGATGGTGGTGGTGATGGCACATGCCAATTAAAACCAGCAGAGGTAGACAGATTTCTGAGTTCTACAGAGTGAGTTCCAGGACAGCCATAGCTACACAGAAAAACTCTTGTCTTGAAAACAAACACACAAAATGCTTCAGTTAATGAAGCTCTAGCCTTTCTGGTGCTCCCTGGGCAGAGGTCTCAACCCTAAAGAAGCTTCCCTCTAGATGAGGAGCACAGTACCAGGCAGGAGGAGGTTGCAAAGGTCAGGGGCAGGCCTGTGGACTTACAGTGGAGTAAGGGTAGGAACTGAGGGCGCCTGAATCCCTCTTGCCTGCTCATTCTTTGACCATATTTCGCTACTCCAGTATAGCAGAGTCAGAAATAGCCACCAAGCCTCCACAAGCTTTCACTCCCATGAGAGCCCAGCTCCCTCCTGTCCAGGGAGCAACAAGCTGTCGGCCTCTTAACTCCCAGGAAATCTTTGAAAGAGAAGAAAGGGAAGCTTGGGGTTCCAGGCTGTGACCTGCTGCTGGGCCGCTCTTCTCATGATGCTGGGAGAGTTCACCTTGCAGCTGTTCCTCTGCTCTGTGCCCTGACTCATCAACTCCATATGGCAGGTTACACTGTTTCCAGGAGATCCTGGGCATGCTAGCAGTCCCAGGTTCACATTGTGTTCCAGTAGTACTAGAGTCTGGGTTTCTGCCAGTCCTCGTGGCCACCCTTGATACATGTAGCCCCCGGGTAATCCTGACAAGATTGGCTGCCTGTATTGCACTGCCGATTACCCCAGTAACCCTAAGGGTGGATGTTATTGTTTCTGCCTTATTAACAGATGAACAAATTGAAGTTCAGACAGAGAGGACAGGTAACTTGCCTAGTAGAATTGGCAGAAGAATTGAGGTTTGAACCTTGGGTGTATGGTTGTATTAGTCCTGTATGGTTGAGTGGTCTACTGTCCTGTTTCACCTCCACTTAGAAGTTTGCAGGGCAGTGTGTGTCAGAGGGAGCTGACTAGCAGGATTGAGGATCTGGGGTCTGTCCCAAGCAGAGCAGGAAAACCCAGCCAGAGGCTGAGGGGCCTGGTCCCTGCCAGCGGCAGTGCTAACAAATGTCATGGTGTTAGCAACGATGTTATCATGATTGGTTTAGGAATGGCCTAGAGCTCTTCACATTCTTCTAAGACCCATTTGTCAGCTCTAGGAATGCAGGCTAACATGGCGTTGTTCTGTAGTGACCCTTCTGGTATGAGGGTGTGAGGCACACAGGCCCATTAAAGAGCTGTTTGTAGCCTACCTCCCTTCAAAAAGTGTCTGTGTAGCCTGGAGGTGTGACATCATGGTATGTGGTGCCAGGGAGATGCCCGCCGTGTCACTTCCTGCTCGTACTCTCCATAATTAGCTCTAGGATCAGCAGGGCCTCAGCCTCCCCTATTCACACCCCCTTTTTACACCCTCATTTCCTTCATAGTTCCCTGTAGGACTACTTCCTAGTCTACCCTCACCTCACCTGGGTCACTGTTTGTCTATGGGGGCATTAACTCAGCTGGGCTCTTACTATATTGGTTTTCTCCATTAAAACCCCTCAAGGCCCTCAGAACCAGTAAGGACAACTTGAGTCTTGTGTCTTCACCTTGCTTTACTCTCTGTCTAGCCCTGTTGCCAGCTTCCCCAAGGTACAGCATGCTAAGCCCCTCTCTAGCTTGTCCATGAGACTGTCCTACAGAGGTACCACATTGGTTCTGTCCCTGACTGATTGACTGTCCCTGGAAAACCCTGCCTCACCCTCCACAGCCTGGTTCCATCCTCCCTCAGTTAGCTCATCCCTGTTTCAGCACCTGGGACTCTGAGGAGAAAAGCAGGGCATCCCCTGCCAGGCAATCTTTTCTCCAGGTGCATAGCATCTGTTTTCAGGACTCCTTTATCCAGCAGAGTTTGGAAGAGAACTGAGAACTCAGAAAGGATAGAATTAGTGATTGCCCTGGATGACAGGCTATAGTTCCCTCAAGCTTTGGCTGGCTCTCTTGCAGAGTGTGGTGGGCGCTGGCCCTGTCATGGAAGCAGGAGGTGCAAGGCTGTGCATGTGGGCGAAACCCAAGTCCTAGGATAGTCTGATTCACCTCGTATGTCTCAAATTTAGCATCTGTCTTCAGTGACACCCTCTCAGCCTCTGGGTGTCCCCGACAACAGGGAGGAGGCTGCAGCTGCCCAGAGCACTGCTTGTACCCAGTGCCTGGTGCAAGTCAGGACTTGGTCATCTAGTATTGCCTGGATGAATGGAGGGTGAGAACCAAGACTTTGCTTAAAAAAACAAAACAAACAAAAAAAGCCACAATTCTCAGAGATGAGAGTGTTGGGTGACCTGCCAATTGTCACCTCCCTTGCTTGCTGGGTGTATGCTTGTTCCTATATGCTGCATGACTGCACACATGAAAACCCAGTGTATCTTTAGACTTTGGTCTGGAAAGGTTGTCTTTATTCTCTCAGAAGACCCGGCAACATTCTTAGTTGCTTATCACCTTGATGACTTAGGATTCCTGGAATTTCTGTGGGCATCCTAAATTTCATTCTTCCCCCCCCCAATCCCAGAGGGGAGAGGAAGAGGAAATTTGAATGTCTGCCACCCACAGTCCCATTCTTAAACTGAATCAGTAATTGAATGCTATTAAGCAAAATTAATTTGCCTCCTGCAGGAAAGCTATGATGAATGAAAGGGTTGCTAATCGGGGAGGGAGCCAGGCTACTCTCTGTGGTCATCAATATTTCAGAGCTATAGGCAGTGTCAGGAAGCTGGGTGTCCTGGTTTGGCTGACCTTGAATGTTCTTAAAGGTAGAGCTTCAAGGAGCCTGATTTCAAAGGACTTAACTATGAAGCATGTAAGAGAAACTATAGGGAAATTTGCCAAATGTACATGAGAGTTGATTGAATTTGCCCCTGTGGGAGGCCCTCAGATGGACTTTTGAGCCAGCCTGGTGCTGATTCTAGTGGAGGGGCAGCAGTGCAGGGCTGGAGAGGTTAGCCTGGCCCTGGTCTAACTGAGACCCCATCCATAGCATCAGTTTCTGCTCATATCTGTCCCTCTCTCCCACAGCTGCGAGGTTGATTACATCATGCCACTTGCTAGGAACTCAACTTGCTCCATTTCTTGTGTGTGTCACACATTCCAGGCACATAAAAGGGATACAGTTTTTAAAAATGGATGAAGTTCAGGCAGTTCATACTGCTTTCGACTGAGGTGGGGGTTTTGCCTGATAGCAGCCTGGCTCACATAGCAAGACTTTGTCTCCATATGGATGAATGGGAGGACAGACGGACAGTGAATGGATGAAAAGAAAGTTAATGTACTTTTCATTCTGTTTTTTTGTAGCTGCCATTAACTTAGCAAAGCTGAAGCTTTTCAGACATTACTACGTCTTGGTGAGTAAAAAAATAAATAACACACACACACCTCTAAGTCTGTAAATCAGATCAGTGAGCAGCCCTGGTGACAGTAGCTACTGCATCTGGACCTGCCAGCAGCCTCACAACCTCATATCCCCTCTCTTAAAGTGGAAACGAAAAATCTGGGTTGCTGCTTTGAAGCCTTCCTGTTAGTGTCTTTAAATACTAGAAAAGTAGCACATCCACTTGATGTGAAACCAGAACTACAGGGAATGGTTCAGGCCCAGCCATCCCCTGACTTGCCCTTCCTGCTCACTTAGGAATGTGGGTACACCCTCGTGCTTTTCTGCAGCCCCCCCACAGAAAGTTACTGAGTATTCACCATTCTCTCCATTTGCGGGGCAGGAGCTGGTTGTATTGTAGTGATACGTCCCTTAGAAACAGAAAACTGAAGCTGCTTTTGTTTTGGGGTTTTAGGTTTTGTTTTTTGTTTTGAGAGAGGGTCTCACTCTCTGTGTAGCCCAGGCTAACCACTATCCATAGCCTCTGCCTCCCAAGGGCTGGGATTAAAGGTGGGCAACATTGCATCCAGCAAGTTGGTGATTGTGTGAGTGCCACTCTGTGGTGTGAGTGAGCACATGGAGTATACTCTCCCAGTGTTCTCTTGACTCTCACAAGGAAACTTGACAGCTCTGTCCAAGCAAGCATTCAAACATTGGGGGTGGCAGCAGGAAAGCGGGGCAGACATATCCAGCTGGTGTTCTTGCACTTGCTCGATCTCTTTCTGTGTTGGTGTCTGTTTTGTTTACATGGATTGTGTGTCATCAGAACAGGTGTCACCACAGAGCATTTCCTGATGCCTATAATGATACAGGGCCAGGGAGACACCACACCCATACCGCCTGGCCTGGCCTGCAAACCTAGCCACCCTCAGCCTGATCTAGTATTCAGTGTGGTCTCCTGGCCAGCTCACTGAGGCCTCATTGAAGGGAGAGGAAGGTGTTAGCAGCTTAGAGTGTGTGATTCCATATATCCTGAGGTATGGGCCTCAGCTGCTCACTGCATCTGTGTATTCCCCATTTTACTGCAGCTGCTGGAAACTAGCACCAAGCAGTGGAAAGAGTGCCCTTGGAGACTGACACCAAAGGGCCTGCCTGTGGGTGCTGAGAAAGGGTTAGAACAGCCATACTAAAGGGACTAATCTCCCCGGGAGGGTCCGGTCAGTGCCTTAGCCACCATGAGGGAGATGTGTAAAGCGGAACCCCCACTTTCCTTGGGAACTGGTAACCAGGATTACAGAGCACATCTTTTCCTTTGGGGACTGTTTTCTGTTTTGCAGTTATTAGTGGCAGACAGCAGTGTCTAATTCATGAATCCTTTCCTGCAGATCGTGTGCTACATCTACTTCACCAGGATCATCGCCTTTCTTCTCAAGTTTGCTGTCCCGTTCCAGTGGAAGTGGCTGTACCAGGTCTGCTGCTCTTGGGGACAGCCTGGAATTTATGCATGAGGATCCTGTTTGGGGGCATAGCTTAAGATGGTGTCTGACTTACCTGGGAATGACTGATCTTCCGTCTCCTCTGCTCTCCAAGTATAATGATCTGTGTGCCCAGAAGAACTGCTGGGTTGCATTGAGAAATCTGGATGTAATTGCATTATTGATTAATTCTAAGTCTTTGAAGAGAGAAGCCTCAAGCAGAGAGAGTGAGATCTGCCTTGTGTAATTAGAATTTATCTACCTTTGCGCTCAGTCTCAGAACTTGAGCAGTTTTGAGTTCAGTCCCTCTTGGTTTAGGGATTTAGTTTTTGTTGTTGTTTTTTGGGGGGGGTGGGTTTGGACCTATCATTTTACTGTAGTCATAAACTATCTTTTAAGATACTAGAACTGGTCATGGGTTACCCAGTGCTACATGTACAGAGGTGAGTCAGAAGTCAAGAGCACTTGGTATTCTTCCAGAGGACCCAAGTTCAGCCCAGCAGCTGCAATTCACAATGGCTTGTAAACCCAGCCCCAAGGAAGCCAACACCCTCTTCTGGCCTACTCAGCCACTGTACAAGATGGTCACACACATACACAGACATGCACACATACATAAATAAAAAGTAAAGTAAAAGTCCTTTTTTTAAAAAAGAAGGATTAATTTAATAGAACCCCCACCCCATGTCCCTTGTTCTTTGGCTGGGAAGATGACTCAGATGGTGAAGGTGTCTGCTACCAAGACTGATGGCCTGAGTTTGATCCCCAGGACCCACATGATGGAAGGAGAAATTGCAATACCATAAGTAAGTTGTCCTCTGACCCCCACACTCAACTCCACAGTGTACACACACACACACACACACACACACACACACACACACACACACACACACACACACACGAAAAAGGAAGAACAAGTAGGACAGAAAAGGTATAAAATGAACCAGTGTAATGGCACACTGTAACCCAACATTGGGGAAGCTGAGACAGAAGGTGTTGAGTTCAAGGCCAGCCTAGGTTTCACACTAAGATCCTCTTATCATAAAGTAACAAGTGGGTTCCCATGGAACATGTCAGTGTCCACTCTGACCATGTCAAAGCGGTCGTCTCTCCCCCTTGGTAAAGCATGTGCAGACTAAAGGAGGCTGCAGCTTGTTCAGTCCCATTGCTTTCTGAAGAGCAGTGTTGCTAATCCTTTTATTTTGGGGTGAATTTTAAATTTGCAGCTGCTGGATGAAACAGCCACACTGGTGTTCTTTGTCCTGACGGGGTATAAATTCCGCCCGGCTTCAGATAACCCCTACCTGCAACTCTCTCAGGAGGAAGATGACCTGGAGATGGAGTCTGTGTAAGCTGCCCACCCACCCTCTTTCCCTCCCTCCCTCCCTTCCTTCCTCTCTCTTCTGAGGCATGGTGTGCAGTGGGTCCCTGGTCTCAGTGTCCTTCGGCATGGAGGTGGTGCCTTTATTTTTAGCAGAAGGACATGGACACTGGAGCCCCTGGCGTACTTAGCTAGTTTGAAGTGCGGTATTTGCTAGCCATTGCTCAGTTTTGTCAGGGAAAACTAGAACTTGCCATCCTGTTGAGTATCAGTGCCGCAGCTCCCAGTGTCCATTTTAGAATGGGCTGTCAGGCTGCAAGCATTGTCATTAGTGTTTGAAAACAGCATCTTCTGAGTCACCACAGGTTGACAGCAGGCAGCACCTCTGACCTGCATCTGAGTCACAGGTTTAGGAACTGTAGGCCTTATTTTCAGGAAAGGCAGTCGTGTGTTAGATGGGCCCTAACTTGTGTCCCCCCTCGAACTCTGATGAGCTGGGTTGTGTGTGTGGTGGTCAGCTCAGGCTGAGACTCCCACTGCCCTGGCCTTTGCCTTTTTCCTCTCCACAGCTCAAAGACTGAGGTACAGCCCAGGCTGAGCTGTCGGGCACATCATGCCTCATAGGGCAGCTCTTCCATGTTGGCTGCTCTGCTAGGCAGTGAGTGCAAGTGGATCCTTGCCTGGGCCCTGACTCCCCATGCAGAAATACCTTTTCCACACAGTGGGAGGAGCAGGGGGACCTCCAGCTGCAACTTGTCCAAAGGTAGCAGAGTCTTTGCAGGGGCTGTTGAAAGAGACACAAACGCTAGTCAGCTGGTGACCCTCTTAACCCTCCCCTGCAAGGTAGTGGGTAGTTGGCTGAATGACTGGGTCATAGCGTCCTCTGCTGAGCGGAACTGTGAAATGGTCCTGTGGGAGTTGTATTCCCTATGCTCCTACTCTAGACCATTGTGCTTTGGAAAGAGGATGTGTGTCTCATGGCAATGTTTTATTTTGTTTTTTGAGACAGGGTCTCACTGTGTATCCCTGGATGTCTATGTAAATCAGGCTGGCCTCAAACTCACAGAGACCTCTGCCTTCCAAGTACTGGAATTAAAGGAGTGAGCTACCTTCATGGCCATGTTTTAAAGTTTTACTTTGGTGTTAGTCTGAGAGTGATAAACTTTACAGACAGCAGGTCTGAATATGTTTAAATTCTGGGAAGAAGGGAGGTGGAAGTGCATAGACTCCACCCAGCCTTGTAACCAGAGAGCACACATTATCCAGTCTGGCAAGGCATAGTGCAGGGGGAATGCTGGAGATAGAGGCAATCCCTTGGTGACCTCAGTTTACACTCGTGTGACAAGGAACCAGAGCTTAGGTCATGCTAGGAGTTTTCTGGGGCTTCATGGAGTCATACCATTACAGTGACAGGAGCGCTACAGTGGCAGGGGTCTGCTTGCTTAGTGGCTACACAGGTTTATTTATTTAGGGCCCTGGCATCACCAGGAGCCTCAGTGCAATCTGGGCTTTGAGGGGAAGCGGAAGCTCAGGAGCTGTTGGAGTCAGAGTCCCTTAGCTCAGTAAGTACACTGGACTGGAACCCCTGGAGCATAGGATGGGGCCAAGCTCACAGACACAGAGACCTCTGGGTCCTATCTCTACCACTAACAAGCCTCACGGTGGGCGCCACTCCCCAACTTGTGTGACCATGGCCTGGGTCATTTCTTTGTGTTGTTTTTCTCTGTGGGAGAGAACTGCTTCCATCTTTGTGCTGGCCCGGGTTTGCCTATGGAGCTCGCATCACCCCATAAGGCCTGTGGCTTTTCTGTTCAACCTGGGAAGTTACAGGGGCTTGCTTTCCCTTCTCGTTTTTTTTTTTTTTTTTTTTTTTTTTTTACATCTCTCCTTGAGCCTGCCAGTTTTTGTTACAAATATTTCACCGACTAACCTTTGTAGTATCTGTCTTGCTCTACAAATCCTTAACTATCTGGTTGCTCCTGACCTGGGTGGTGTGTAGGAGAAATGGGGAGGGCCTGAAGTCTCCCCAAGCTCTCATTCCACAGGGGGAGACAGAGAACCAGATGTCCAGATCCTCTCACCTAGGCCTCTCACAGTTTTAGCGCCCAAGTATGTCTTAGGCACAGAAACAGATGTGTCCATGGGCAGCTTCAGCCAAGCTGTCTGCTTGTGGCCTGCTGTAACGGATGATCTGTGGTCATTCTGCCCTTTGGGTTTGGGGAGACATGGAGTTCTGTCAGGAATAGGGACAGATGTGGGGTTGTCAAGGCTCCCTAGCACCATTCTGTTCTCAGCACACTACTGGCTGGCCCTCTGGGACATGCTGCTCAGGCCTGCTTAGGAGCTGTGCCCCCCCCCAGGAAGTCTCACTTCCCACCTGTGACCTGGGTGGCTCCAGAGCCTGTCACAGAGGTCCATGAGAAGAAAGTGGCAGCTATGGTGCGGGCTGCTGGACAGATGCTGGGAGTTGGCATGGGAACAGAGCTGGATTTGATGTGACTTTGTGTCCTGTCCAGAGGCTTTAGGGTGTTAGTCTGCTTTACACCCAGGCTCAGCAGGAGCACTGGGAAGCTGTCTAGGCTACCTTCCCTGTCCTCAGAGGGACCCAAGCATCGTCCCTCAGCTGCTCACCTCGTCAGTGAGGGCTGCTGTTCTCATCTTGCCTTCTCTCCTTTCCACACATCTGCAGGGCTGCAGGATCACCCTAGAGTGCTTGTCAAGTGCAGGCTCTGTTGCTGCTGTAAGGGAGGTCACAGCCACTAGGGGGGTGAGAGCTGTAGGTGGGCACTAGCAGCTGTCTCATGGGACACAGAGCTCTCAGGGCAGAGCTTGGAAGCCTGAGTTAAAAGATACGATGAAGCTGGCCAGCTAGGTGAGGGGCAGGAGGAGGGTAGGGGCAGGGTAGCTGTAAAAAGAGCTGAGTCGGGCAGGAGCAGCAGCATGGAAGTGAAGCTGGGGGCTTCTTGCCATGGCTGGGGAACACCAGACCACTAGGAAGCAGTGCTTACTGTCCATAGGGCAGAGTTTTGAGCACAGCCCGTGCTTCTGCCCTGGGCCTTGGAGAATCCACCCCACTAGTTAGCTCCCTTCCCTGGATGTCCCATAACCATAACAGCCATGCAGGGTTATGAATTCCCCCAACATTTTGGCTTCTTTTCTGTTTCAGAGTGACAACATCAGGAGTGATGGAGAATATGAAGAAAGTCGGGAAAGTAACCAATGGTGTTGTGGAGCCCCAGGGTGACTGGGAAGGCACTGCGTGATAGAGCCTGCTCTGAGGATGCACTGTCAATGAAAACTAACTTATTCATAGCCCTATCAGTGAGCAAGCGTGTTCCTGACAGAACTGTGGCATCTCCCAAAGTGACACCCCAGCGCTCGCTCATGGCACGGCTGAGGGCCGTGGACACCTACTTTTGTACTCTTAGAGGATCTGGATTGCGGTGGGTTACAGGCAGCTAGGACTGTCCCTCAGGGAGGGTAGGAGCATAGAGGATGGGTAGAAGGTTTACCTTGCTAATTGGGAGCTTGGGGTCCATGCAGGGGAACCCCAGCGACTGCCACTGAGAAAGGCTGTGGTGATGGAAGGGCAGGCTACTGGTGCTCACAGAGCTTTGGAGGCTGAGGATGTGGCTCACTCTTGACCAAGCATTCACGAGGCTCTGGGTTCAATTCCTAGTACCAGGGTGGGGGAAAGAAGTTACTTTTTGCGATGTAAGCAGATGTCCTCCAAGGACATGAAGGAGAGAGAGATTGTCCATCTTTGGCAAACAACAGTAACAGGGATGATTGGAATTATTTTAGAAAGCCAAATAGACAACCTCGGTGGTGTGGGGCGCCTGCCTGCGCCACTGCCCAGTACCACTGTAAATGTCCCCCGCGTTAAACAGTGGTGCTAGAGGCAGCCAAGAGGGCCCTTAGTGATGCTGTCCAGGCCACTGCCAGCACCACACATAGCCCTGCTGCTGGACAATAGCTGTCTCTAGGCCTGTCTGTCTGAAGAGGAGATGAGCCTTAGAGCTACAGAAGTGTTCTCCAGCCGGCTCTCCAGAGATGCCCCTGCCTGCCCAGAGCAGCCGCCTGGCTTCCTGTCCTTCACCTGTGTCTTCTCAACAGGAGAATGTTCCTTAAGGAGCAGATACTTAGGAAAGGCTTGATCCACAGCTGGCATGGGCCAGGCAGGACTTCTGGGCCTCAACATCGTACCAAGCATCCGTGAAGGAAGTGAGCACAGTTGAGCCTGTCATGCTAGTGGACCTGAGACAGCGAGGTCTGCTCAGAGCTTGGGCAGGAACACCAGCGGCTGCGTGCATGGGACAGTGGTGCAGCAGAGACCGGCTTAGAAGGCATGTGACCAAGGGCACAGGTGACCAGCTCGGCACCTCAAAGCTGCCTAGTGCACAGGACTTGTAGGTGAGTCATAACTTCAAGGGACAGTTACTACCTCCCAGTGCAGAAGGATCGAGTCTGCCCTGAAAATGGTCGTGTCTGTCTCCATGTCCCACCCCAACTTCCACACCATCCGCCTCCAGTGAGAAGCCATCTCTGCCATCCAGGTCTGAGGAGGCACTTCACCACAGCAGCTGTTCTATCTGGCGAAAGGTAGACAGGCCTGAAGGACTTGATTTAGGGACCTTCTTCTCCTTTTTTTTTTTTTTATTTTTTTATTTTTGGTTTTGTTTTTGTTTGTTTAAGGTATGTGACGGAAAGGGAGTTGGAGAGGAGACAGGGATAATTTTTAATGCTTTGTTTTCTGCACATAAGCACTCAGTAACACTTCAAAAGTGTGTTCTGTGGTGATATCTAGGCCTGCCTCTCAGATGGCTCTGTGTGTGTGTGTGTGTGTGTGTGTGTGTGTGTGTGTGTGTGTGTGTGTGTGTGTGTGTGGCTGTTTTCCTGCCAGCACACATTGTTGACTAGGCGCTAGACTCACAGAAGGTGTGAGGCAGCCTCCCCCAGGCAAGGTTTTTATGGAGGGGCCTCACTTGCTCAGTGGCAGAGAGCAAGAGGGGAACTGTACAGCTTAGCCCGCAGGCCTCTCTGAGTGGCTATAGGGGGACAGCCTGGTCCTTCCAGAGCATGGGTGCACTGACAGGAAGGTGGGCCAAGGCAGTGTCTTTCCCATGCCCTGCCCTGTAACTGCTACAGGAGGGAAGTCAGGGATGATGGGCTCGGAAGCCTAACACGGGACTGGAAGGCTGGCCTGGTGTGTCCAGGCTGTGAAGGAGTCCTTGCAGCTCTTCACCCTGCACTGTAAATGTGTCATCTCCATCACTTGAGAGATGGGAGCCAGCGGTCAGTGGCATCCTCGGATAGAAGAGTGATTGGAGTCCAGGGCTGCACAGCTGCCCTCGGTAGCCTGAGTGCAGCCCACCTGGCTCTCCACAACTGTGCTTGCACAGTGAAGCCCTGTGGTAGAGGGCCGAACAAAACCAGGGCTCACTCTGCACTGCACTGTGGTATTTGCAGCCCTGCGCTCTGCCCCCTCTGTTTCTGCTTGTGTGAGGTGTTCATGCTTCCTGAGAGTGCTGTGGACTGGAAGCTGCAGGCTGTGACATTTAATAAAGTGTACACTGCTAGAAAATTATTTCTTGGATGTCAGGAGCAAGTGTCAAGCTCCGAATCCTGGTTCTTAACAGTGTTGAGGACTCAGGCCACCTCTTACACTTGAATAGCAGAGAATTGGCTAAAGTTTAGCCTGACTGGGGTCATTTTCTCCGGAGGAACAACTCACTCCAGGGTCAAAGATCCTCCCTCACACCAAGCCTGTGTCTTTTCAGTTTTCCTCCAAAAACCACTTCAGAATTAAATACCTAAGTCCCCGATTCTCCAACCCTCCACCTGCTCAACAACCAGGCCCGCACAGCTCCTGAGGTGCTTGTGGGATTTCTGCTCCTCTTGGTCCTTCCGTCTTTTCCCTCCTCCTCCTTCCCCTTACCCCCTACCACCATCGCTGCCACCACCACCAACCCCCACCACCCCACTCCCCACTTACTTTCCCATTAACTCCCTGGAATACTGGAGCACTGCAGCGCTGTCTGCCCGCAGTGGGTGCAGGATGTATTTTCTAAACCAGGGAGCATTCTATCAAGAGTGCAAACTATGCAAACTACATATTGCTGCTTTATGCCACATGGTGATCTCACACCACAACATCTGTCTGACTCTTGGAGTGGAGTCTAAGAAGAGGACGTGTGTCAAAAACATCCCTGTGTTCATTTTCAGTCGCCTCTGGCCACCTCCCATATCCCAAAGTGTGATCCTCGAGGAAGCATTAGTCTGACGAGGATGCTGGCCCAGCTCCATATACCCAGGAGGACAGCTGAGCATTCCAACCTCCCTCTGCCAAGCTACTGATCCTCACAAGAAGATCCCAGCCCCCACCCACCCCCAGCCCTGCTCCCACCTCAGCTTGTCTAGCCTGCCCAGGACCCAGCACATCACCACATCATGGTGCTGCCCTGCCCACTGCTGCCACCTTTCCTCTCTGGAGTTCCCTGAGGACTTTATTCAGAACGGTATTCATTTGGAACAGGCTGGTGTTCTCAAAGACCTGCCCTTTACGCCAGCCTTCCCAAGGATGCCCTGGCGAGAATCTGCAAAACACATTCCTAGGAGCCTCACTCATACCTGTACCACCTAGAAATTGATCACAGGCCCAGGCCTCTTCTGTCTTGTAGAGGTGTGTCTGTTTCATGCTTTAAAAGCATCCTACATTTAGGTGGCCCTCTGCCTGGACTGGGAACCACCTCCCTACTTCCCAGCACTATGAAGAGACTGCACTGGGGGACGAGACAAGCGTGGGAGCAGACACGATCATGTTATGTCAGGCCCTGAGGACAAGGAGATTGCAGACAGACCACCACTGGGGAAATCACACAAGTTCCTGGTGTGTCCATCAAGAGCAGGATGGCCATTTGCAGTTGAGGCTGTGCCATAGATGGGGAACCGGAGACCTTAGCATCTAAGCACTGTCTCCCTCTGCAGAGGGCCAGAACCCCTGTCCACACAAGGAGTTCTCCAGTCCTTAGGCAGCTTTTCTAGATGACCCAAATTGTCAGACTGAGTAACCCAGAGGTTTTATCTGCAGAAGGTCTTATGGGCCTGTGTGCCCTCCTCAGGTTGGGGTGCAGGGGCTGGGGGCCACTTGATAACTTTAGCATTAACCATTGAATATTTACAAGCATGGGGTGTGGATGTGTTCAGGATTGGTGGGCTGGACACCATATGGAAGTATTTCACTGCAAAGCAAACATGTCTAATAAAGATTCCATGCTGGAAACTTGTGCCTGTGGTCCCAAGGAAGCCTGGATGCTCCCTGTTTTACTTCCTTGTACTTAATCCAGCAGTTCTCAACCTTCCCGATGCTGCCTGCGATCCTTTAATACAGTTCCTGTTGTGGTGATGCTCAACAATGACATTATTTTTGTTCCTACTTCATAACTTTAGTTTTGCTACCATTAATGACTCACAATGTAGATGTATGATATGCAGGTGGCCTTAGGTGACCCTGTGAAAGGGTCATTAGATTCCCCCAGGTTAGGAACTATTGTAAAATTCCTTCTGTGTGATTTGTGCTGATTATCTGGCTGCCTTCTACCCACTCTAACTGACAGTTAGTAGCCCCACCTGGCAAAATTCTGCCACCAGGTCTTTGGTACGAATGCTAACCACTGAGGTGCAGTCATGGGAGACGCCAGGTCGGGGTCCAGCCCTGCTGCCACCGAGGGGGAGGTGACAGCAGAGATTTGGGGCTAATCCCCTACTGAGAGGCTTCATGGGTACCCAGTAGCTCTGCCCATCATCCCCTGTGGGAATCAGACATTCGGATCAGCACAGGGTGCTTCACTAGGAGTGTTTTCAGATGACAAGCTTCACACAGGAAGAATTTGCAGCTTGGAGCTGCAAAGTGGCTCAGTGGGTAAAGTGCAAGCATGACAAACTGAGTTTGGTCCCCAGCGCCCACAGAAAAGCCAGCTGTGGTGGTGCCTGCCTGTAAATCTCACACATGGGGAGCAGGAGGAGCCCCAAAGCTTGCTGGCCAGCCAGTACAGCTGGTCAGTGTGTCCCAGGTCCTGTGAGAGACTGCCGACTGCCTCAAAGTAAGGTAGGGATGGATAGGATAAGTCAAGATGGAGCATGCACAGGCACAAATACACAAACACTGCACACACACGTACAGTCCCAAGGTGTGAGAGTGTGGGTCTGAGATCCCCACCCTGAGTAGAATGTTCATATCCCATTCCCATCCATGATGCTTTTCATAACCAACCCCGCCCCACACGGCCTCACCACAGGCTCTTTGCCTGCTCAGAGCTGCTCCAGGGTGAGTGGCCACTTAGGAGCCTGCCCGTTGTGTGACTCGTCCACCCAAAGCCTGGTCTGAGACCACAGAACCCGAAGAAAACTGTTATCACTGCCCCCTGCCACCCAGATAGCAGCCAGGTGCCCTGCAGGGCCCACAGTTTCTTACTCTGAAGGTTTGGGGGAGGGGCTGAGACTGCCTTCTAGTGGTGCCTGCCCGGCAGAATTGATGCGACTGTCTAGGCATTTTGACAACAGCTCTGGTCAGGACCTTTAATCCAGGGTGGTCTCTAGATGGCATGTGAACATGAATATCTGTAGACCCACCTAACAAGATATGACTACCTAAGTGCCATTCAGTGGCCAGGGCAGAGACAGAAAGAGGAAGGCAGCTTAAATGGGGCCCTTGGCTGTTCCCCATTATTTCCCCAGGGCCACCTAGGGCACCCAGCTGGAAATGCTGCTGCTGGGCCTTCTGAACTCTTGATGCCATAGACCGATCTTGGCGTTGGGAAAGCAGGAAAGAGCCTGTTGTCTGAACTCACGGGTTCACCTGCTGAGGCCGAGACCCACCTGACCCTATATACTGAACACTAGCACCTCATTTACTAAGTTTGGTGCCCACTGAGCTCCAGCAGTGGCCTCAGCCTGGGCATTAAGAGTGTACAGTGGGGCTTGACAGGTGGCTCAGCTGTTCTTCCAGCGGTCCTGAGTTCAATTCCCAGCAACCACATGTTGGCTCACAACCATCTGTAATAAGATCTGGCGCCCTCTTCAGGCCTGCAGGGTTATTATATACAGGCAGAACACTACATAATACATAAATCTTTTTTTTAAAAAGTGTACAGTACAGGGCTGGAAAGATGGCTTGCTGCTTTTACAGAAAACCTACAGCCATCCATAACCAGCTCCGGGGGCTCTGATGCCCTCTTCTGACCCCGGGCACCATGCTCATGTGGTGCACAAACGCATACATGTGATCAAAACACTCATAATACCTCTTTTTTAGTTCACAATGAATGCTGAATGGTGCTGGAACCTCCACAAGGACCCAGGGAAGGACATACAGCAGTCCCAAAGAGGAAATCCAAAGGCCACTGTGGACACCCATCCCAATGGTCAGTGCACTTGTCCATGGTGCCTTGTTTCCTTTCAGTGTACACAAACTTGTCACACTGTGGCTCATCCTTGGCTGCCATCCTTGGTGGGAGATGTAATTAATTGTATTGTCCACAAAATGGTCTGATAAGCAGCATTCTGAAGTCAAAGAGCTGACTGGCCAGAGTAATGTGAGGGCTGGGCCCTTCTGCCGTCTGTTTTCCCAAAGCATGCGGCACTGTGGTGCCGTGTTCCTGTAGCTAACTGGCTCAGATGTGCTGTGCTGAGAGCCCTCTCCTCCCTCCCCTGCCTCCCTCGTGGGCACAGCTGCCTTTGGGTGGCCTTTATCAGGAATCTATCAGGTGGACAGATCAATAGTTGTGCGCTCCTCTGGCTCCCAAGCAAGACACTGGGTGTGTCCTGTAAGGAGGCATGCTGTGTGTCATGAGGGACACCTCATGACACAGCAGGCCCCTTGGCCTTTGAGAACTCAGCCCTGGCCCCTGGTGCTGGCCTGTCTGCCCCAAGAGAAATTTTCCCAGTATCTGGGAAGGTAGGAGTGACCCACTTAGAAACTGCAAGGGCATGGCTGACCTGCATAGAAGTAATGACTGTGCTCGTTACCCAGGCACAGAGGCACACACTGACAGCATGCCTCCTCAGCTTCTCTAGATGCACATTCACAGTGAAGTGATTGTCTCAGTCAGCTACAGCCTGTGAGGGCTGAACATCGTCTTCTGTGCTAACACCTACCAGGCCAAGACTGAGCAGTAGTGGGTACATCTGACTTGCATTGTTGGGAGACACAAGACAGAATGAGAGAGCCAGCAGGACCTGTGTGGTCCATGTCACAGGAACATTGTCTCAATTCCACCTTAACAACAATAGCCCCTATTGATAGGATGGTCTCCCTAACCATTGGCTTGGGTGCAATAAGACATTATCCTGTCTCTAGACTTCTGCCATCTGCAAGTCAGACTCCTGTCTGAGTCATCTTGCCATTCCAGCTTCCTGTGTCCTTCCTGTGGCTCTGCACCAAATCTCATGACCAGAGCAGGCTCCTCCATCCTCTGCTGGCACATGCTGTGGTAAGCGAGTATACATAATAAATGACTTTTACATTATGATTTTAGGACTTGGAAGAGGCTCAGTGGTTAAGGTGCTTGCTGCTCTTCCAAGGGACCCAAATTTGTTTCCAAGCACCCACACTGGTGCTCACAAACACCTGGAACCCCAGCTCTGAGAAAGACAGCATCCTCTTCTGACGCCTGAGAGCATTGCACTCCTATGTATATATTCATGCACAAACGTAAAAAGAAATCCTAAGAAATATCTTTAATTTGTTGTAAAGGAGTCCAACTGCCACGGTGGTGCATACCCTTATCTCAGTCCTCATGAGGTCCAGGCCAAGTCTGCATAGCGAGACCCTGTCTCACAAACAAAATGATTCATCATGGCTTCTTTTTTGTCTATTTTGTATTTTTGCTTTTGGTTTTTCAAGTCAGGGTATCTCTGTGTAGCCCTGGCTGTCCTGGAACTCACTTTGAAGACCAGGCTGGCCTGGAACTCACAGGGATCTGCCTGCCTCTGCTTCCAAAGTGCTGGGATTAAAGGTGTGAGCTACCATTGCCTGGCAGTCTATCATGTTTCTATACATTTGTGACCAATAGTGCAGAGGGAAACAGTGCCATTTACTGAGAAGAATAAAACACCTAGGAAGAGGCCAATAAATGGAAACTTTATTCTGAAAATGATAACACATTTTGGAGAGACAGTTTTTCTCCCATCACCTCACACCCGAGTGCTGGGTTACAGGAATATGCCAACATGCCTGGCTCTATCATAGCCTTAAAAAAGATGTATTTTATTTTTATTTATGTCTCTGTGTATCTGTGTCTGTGTGTGCACATGTGCAGGTCCCCACAGAGGCCAGAAAAAGGCATCAGATCCCCTGCAGCTGGAGTTACAAGGGGTTATGAGTTGCCTGACGTGGGTGCCAGGAACTGCACGTAGGTCCTCTGCAAGAGCAGCAAGTGCTCTTAACGGCGCAGCCATCTGCCCAGTTCCAGCTTAGCCTTCTCAAGTGCACAGTTCAAGTGTGAACACCTTTACCCTGCTTTGCAGCCAGCCAGTCTTGAGAGCTTGTTCACCTTGTAAAAGCTGAAGATGTGTCTCCATTAGAAGTTCCCGCCCACCCCAAGCCCTGTGTGTGTGTGCATGTGTGATTCTAATTCACCTAACATGTTGAGGTTTTCTTACTTTACCCTCTGTCGTCGTTTGTTTTTTGAGAGAGGACTTTGTGTAGTTGAGGCTGGTGTTGAATTGGGGATCTAGGAGTCTGCAGATATGGGGGGGCCACCTGTGCTAACATGTACATAACATACACACTGGTGGTTTGAACGAGAATGGCTCCATAGGCTCATATATTTGAATGTTAGGTTCCCAGTTGGGGAACTGTTTAGAAAGGAGGTGTGGCCCTGTTGGAGGAGGCGTGTCACTGGGGGGTGGGCTTTGAGCTTTCAAAAGCCCACACCAAACCTAGTCTTGCCCTCTCCGCCACCATCTTTTGAATCAGATGTATGGTCTCGGCTACCGTTCCAGCACCATGCCTGCCTGTCAGCTGTCATGCTTCATGCCATGATGATCACGGCCCAACCCTCTGAAACTGTAAGCCAGCCCCAGTTAAATGCTTTCTGTTATAAGCTGTCTTGATCATGGTGTCTCTTTACAGTAACAGAACACACATGCTTTTAAGTTAAAAAAAAAAAAAAAAAAAAAAAAAGAAAGAAAGAAAGAAAAGAAAAGAAATAGAGGCTGGAGATAGTTCAGCAGTTAAGAACACTTGTTGCTCTTGAGGAATTCTGGGTTCAGTTCCCTGCA